CCGCGACCGGGCGGCGGATGTCAGCAGGTATGGGGGTTCATCCTTACTCCAATGCTGCTGCCTCACCTGGTCCAGGTGGATACAATCCTAACGGAAGTGCTGGTCTAGGCGGGCCTGGCGGACACTCCCGAGGTATGACAGGCGACGATACACTTGGTTACCCTAGCCAGGGTAGAACAAGCGCTATGGGATACACCAGAGGCTACGGCAGCAATGTTGCAGTTAGAGGTATCAATCCTTCCGGTCCAAATGCCAGCGGCTCTGTTGGTATTCATAATGGGATGATGGGTCCTGGGGGAATGGGACCAGTACCCGAAGAAGGACGAGAGAAGAAAGGCTTCTTTGCTACCCTGTGCTGCCGATAGATCTCAAAGCTAAGCTGCCTATGACCTGACATGTCCTTCAATGCTGCACGCATATCGGATCGGGGGCTACCATTCTGTCACGATATTTTTTCCCAATCAATCTACAATTGGCAATGGTACGACAATCAACACTTTATCGAGTTTTCCGGTTGGTCTCAAGATAGGACTACCTCGTCATCCTGGCGTATGATGAGGTTCCCTCCTTTTTACGTCAAATATTCCCACACTAATCCATTACCTCATTCTGTGATCCCTTATTCTTTCTCTGATCATTTGTCCCTCTCTCTCTCGTCTGACCCCTCACAACCTTGTCCGATGCATTGATATCACCTCCGCGCTACTGCCCTCTCTCGAACTCGTGTACATTAGTCGCTGGCATGCTCTGGTTTAATATTTTTGTGGCAATGCCAACGTCTTATGACGGAATGATAGGCAAGGTCGATCCTTCAATGTTTCCTTACGTATGTCTATGTTTTTCACGGCCTTTATGTCTTTATAGATCCAGGGTTGATGAATAATCTGTGACTTATCCTAATTATTACCCGCCTTTTTGAAAAATAAGATGCTAATATTTTGCCTAAGATGAGACATGACGATCACAGATAAAGTAAACAGCCGTTAGATACTACGTGTCATCGGTACCCATCCAGCTTTCGAGGGACCCACCCAATCTTCAAAAGGCGATACGAAACCTCGTCAGCTCTCCCTATCCC